TGTTACTCCCACCAAGTCTTTGTTTACTCTGAGCTTGAAGATAATGGTATTTGCTTTCTGCACCAGACATTCAAAATATGGAGTTATTCTTAGCTACACATGGTATGACATATTGCATTCATACTTTAAGAATATATATCGCATGCCCAAATGTTGATTTCATCTAATGATTTCATATCGCGATATGAAATTGCATGTCCAAATGCCTACTTAGAACATCAGCAATCCATATACTTAATGGAAATTTAGATGATATGGTTTGTTAGAAATGCAAATTTATCCTAATAAGATTGTATTCTTTGAAAGCTTTGTTAGTCAGTTCTTACACCCTATCTTGTTTAAGGCTAAATCTTTTATGTATTTTCTTTTTATTAATAATGAGACTGTTGATGCCAAGCAGGAGGTGTCCTTGAAACTGCAAACTAGGTAGGTCTAAATACTTTTCTTTATGAGAACTATCTAAGCTTTCATATCAACTGCAGCTTCTTTTCACTGATTATCCAAAAAATAGGAGTCCATTTCTATCTCCATATATTTCACATCAAAGGCACAAAGTGTTTATGTACTAATGTATTCTCGACTCCAAGTTTCTTATATTTGAGTTTTAAAAGTTGGTTTCACACTTCGAGTAAAAAGTTGAGAATTTGAGTAAGTTTGTGATTTGAAAAGGCTAAGTTGCTTAAAAGTGATTTTCGAAGTCTTTTGGAGTTTCGAGTATCGGAATAGAATTTCTCAATTCCATTAGTTTTGGATAGTAAAAATTGGTCTCTGAGAAATGTTGAATTCATATTCAAAGTCGTTTTAAGGATTTGAGGTTCTAAGTTGGAAATTATTGAGATTTTAGCCTTTGGGTTGACTTTGGTCAACATTCGGGGTTCGGATGCTCGGACAAGAATTTCGAGAGTTCCATTGCATTCAGGGGACGATTTTAGGTGTAGTTGAGCTCTTGGTTGAATTTTTAGAGGTCCCGGACTTGATTTGGCCCTTTTAGGTATTATGTTCATTCTTTGTGGCTTTCACGTGTTCCGGTTTGAGAAGACCTTGGATCCGCATTTTGATGGTTCTATTGTGTCTGGGACGTCGAGTTTAGTCAATTTGCATCTATGGTTTGTGTGTACGGGGTTCCAAATAAATTTTTGAGGTTCCTTTTGATGATTTTTGAGTTTGCTGATTTTCCTGTCTGGGTGGCTGAAGCCAACCCTCCACGATCGTGGAGGGGTGACTGCATTCGTGGGAGGTCGAATCTTTGACCTTCGTATTCGCAGAGTGTATGACGCCTTCTTGAGCTCAGTTATGAGCTCTCCGGCCGCTTTGCAAACAAGGGTGCACGTTCGCGTAGGACCCCTGACAGTGTTTTGATCCAAATTCGAGGTTTCTTCCCCATTTTCCATTGTTGGAGCTTTGAGAACTCGGTGGAGGTGATTTCAAGTGAGTTTTTCAAGATAAAATAACTGGGTAACATTTCTTGACTTTAAATCTTCAATTACCCATTATTATTATTGATATTGGATTTTGGATAGATAAATTGAGGGTTTTCATGAATTTGAGTTGTTGAAGTAAAATTGGGTTTGTGAACAAATTTTAAATCCTTTTTCAAAATGGTTTTCACCAATGAGTTCCCAATGCCTTAAGTAATGTTTTCAAGAAAAGATTTTTATATTTAAACCTCAATTTTGGAATTGGTTTTTTAAGTTTATTGACCTTTCTATCTAAATTGCTTGAGTTTGGTAGTGTTAATTCTGGAATCTTATTTTGATTACTTAATTGAACTAGATTGTGGGGCATCGGATATCGTTCGAAAGGAGAAGGCTCAAGCTTTGAATTAATCTCCTCAAGCTTTGGATTGATTAATTGATTGAATTACGGCAAGTGGTCTCTTAAACTTTGTAACCTAGTTGAATCGTCTATTTCCTTTCATTGTGTGTTGGGGAATAATGGGATTGAGGAAGGCTCATTGTTGCACTTGTTTAATCTTAATGAATAAAAAGGGGATTAAAGAAAAGGCGACTTGTTGATCATAATGCTTGTGAATTGTCTTTCTTGTGACCCTTATTTGATTGATTAATGAAGTGCTTTGATGGAACAAATGTGGACTTGAATTGTATGAATTGTTGTCTCTTTCTTATGGCGTGTCATTGCTTATTTGTGTTGATTGTTGAACATAGGACGGACCCACATGTAAGCCATTCGAAAACTATGCGGTATATATAAGGTAAATTTTGTGTATTTATGTGAATATATATATTTTGAACCCCTTCAATGACAAGGAAAATTAGATAGCCCAGCGGCACTAGGTTACCTTTCAACTATGTGGGATGTCCAGGGTTCAAATCCCTTGGCTAGTGTTTTACTTTTTGTTGTTTTAGTTTTTCTTTTTTTTTGGTTCCAGATCCATTTTTTACGTTTTTTTTAGATACCATGCTAAAAGTGTGGCTTTAAATCCAAAAGAATTCAAGGGTCACATTTCTTGAAAAAAAGTTTGTTGCCTTATTTACATGTTTATACTTTTATTTTTTGAACCCCCTGAATGAAAATCTTGGGTTCGCCACTGGTTGAACACCATGCTATGACATGTGATATCAGGTCGAAGGGAAATGGTTCCGGCTAGTTATTTGATATAAAGCCGTACGGAAATGGTTCCGGCTAGTGATGATATAAAGCCGAAGGGAAATGGTTCCAACTAGTGATTCGATAGAAAGCCGAAGGAAAATGGTTTAGACTAGTGATTCGATATAAAGTCGATGGGAAATAGATCCGACTTGTGATAATGTGCCGAAGGAAAATGGTTCCTGTAAGAATTTCATTAATTTCAGAGATCATCTGCTAATGGGCAGTGAAGGAAGAGGTGGTTGACTCTCTCCTGAATTGTCTTGCAAAAATAGCAGATATTGACCAACTACAATATTTTTCTATTCAGGTTGTCTAGAGTAAGACAAGCGTTGTTTAGTGTGATCCAGCTGAAGCATTTAATCTCATAGCCCATAGGTAGATTGGTCTTCCATACTAGCTTCATGGCCATTTATCAGTTACTTGACTTTGTTAGCATACTTGTGTATAGCATTCTTTCGCTGTGAATATATCTTTGCTTCCCCACTTTAGCCTATCTAGTTTACTTTCATCAAAATTGTGAGCTTCCACCATTGCTATTATTTCCATCAAACTCCCAAGTTCATAGTCCTGCAAACACCTTTCAAATGCATATCCCAAGTGTTTATGGTCCTGTTTTGAATAATTGAGGACTCCTTATCCATAGCAATGTTGAAGACATTGGGATATTCCTCCTTGAGATTTGTATTGTTTCACCATCAATCCTTCTAGAACTTGATATACATACCATCCCCAGGTTACAAGGGAATTCCATGAGAGAATTTAGAGTCTATATTTCCAAGGCCCAAGTCCTAACTCCATAAGGCAGATTTACGTTTTCCCCCTTTTTGGCACTTGATAGAATTTAATTGCAAAAACAATTGAGTTTTGCCCATACAGGTTTGGATTTATGCTTGTCTGAGTTTTGTTTTTTAGTTTTCAGGATTTCAATTATTTTGTGGTATGATCAAATGCAGATTTTTTGTGCTTAATATTTAAATCTTTGTCGAGATTGGTTTTGATTCACTTGTGATTTATCATTTTGTTATCGTGATGATTCATTTCTCATTGTTCCCCAATCTAGAACATAGCTTCTTTTGGAATATTATTAAAGCTTTTTTTAACCTGCGTATGTTAAATGCAACTGGTGCTTCGATTATTCCGTCTTTTCTTTTTAGAAAAAGAAAATTGGGTTTGGGGTCATCTAGCCTGTAAACTCTAGATACATGATTAGTAGTTTGAGAGATTGATGGGAAATATTTTCTTTTTATTTTTGACAAATTAAAAAGTTTTACTGAAAGCATCCAGTAGATGCAAAAG